CTGAAGAACAAAAGGACAGCAACTTGTCTGTTCCCCTTTCCCCAATTCCCCAGTGCTGTTCCCATCCCCCAATTCCCCAATAAAAATCTTTTAAAAAATTAAAAAAATAAAAATAAAAGTTCTTTATGAACTTTCTTAATGATCAGATTCAGATAACAATAAATATTGTGAAAGAGCAAGAGTATGATTCAAAGGAAAACAGCATAAACACCATACTACTTACCGCTGAAATCTTTCTTGCTGTTCTCTTTGTTTTCGAATTTCTGGAAACTGCTTTTCATAGTACTCCCTTGTTTTGCTTTCTTTAGCTTTCCTTCGGGGATTATTTTCTATTCTGTCCACTTTTTTCTCCCATGCCTCCATGAGCTGATCATAACGTTGGCAGATTTTTTGTTCCTATTAAATACCCGTAGTAAATAATTAAATGAAACTCTGTGATTCTGACAAACCTAATACTTTCAAGTAAATGCTACTTCTTTTTTTTTTTTAAATCGCTACTTTTAAGGCTAAGTCGGCTAAGTCAGAAGTACATTTAGCCTATGATTCAACTGTAAATGAAGAGCTGTCCTTGATGTGAAAGAAGACAGAAAGGGAGCTCTACTTCCTATGAAAGCTCAACATATTTTGGTGAGCTTTTTTTTTTTTTTTTTGGGTTAACGTTACGACTATACAAGTTAATTAACTAACTGATGAGCTACTACTTATAGCTGACCAGCTGGTTTTATTATTTTTCTGATAACAATATATGCCTTGTCAAAAAAAATGTAAAATTAAACACAGAATTACATAAACAGCTCATAATCCCAATCACCCAAAGACAACCATGTTAACAATTTGTTGTTATCCTTCCAGTCTGTCAGAGAAGATACTCACACTTTAACCATTCCTCTATTGTTGGAGGTTTAAGTTAACTGCAGTTTTTGTTATTATAAATCATGCTATATAATAAACATTTCTGACAGTCTAGAAAAGGCAGAAATTGGTTGTACTTTTTGATAAAAAGAAATCCAGCGAACTACATGAAATCAAGAATACTTTAGAAGAATGAGTAATGTATGTCTTAATTTTATAAATACAAAAGGAAAGAAAGAAGAGCCCTCCCGCACAGAACTGTATACATATCTGACAACACATGGATTAAATAAAGGTGTGGAAGGACTCATGAAAAACTGTTAACTGGTCATCGCATCAAGAAAGTGACATTAGAGAAGATAATATCTTCCTCACACTCCATACCACCCTCCTACCCCACTTCTCAATCATTCTTTTCAACTCCTACATGTCTTTTTTTATCCTTCCCCTTTTCTCCATCTCTACTGCTACCTCCTCAGTACAGGCCAACATCAACCCTCATCCAGACTAAACTAAGAGCCTCTTAAATGTCTCCCATGCATTCTTAATGATGTCACTTGATGCAAATTCTTTAAAACCTGAACATTTCACTTCCCCAATTCAAACACTTAGAAGCTAATCCAAAGTCTCCTATATGACCTCCAGAGCTGTGTAAAACCTGGCCCTGACTTCCCCCAGCAGCCTCATTTCTCACCACACTCCTAGCTCAGCCTAAGCCCTAGCTAGCCATCTCTGAACCTGCCACATTCCCTCTGCCTCCCAGACCTTCACTTAAGCTGCTCCCTCTGCTTGTTCCAGTTTCCAGAGTATTGGTTTTCCTGTGAAATTTTCCTTCACGATTCATATTGCCATTAGCTGTCCCCCTTATATGCTCACAGTTATCTGTACGTCCTTTACTATGGTAGGATCACAATACCGTAATTGCCTGCTAACTTATCTGTCCCCAGTTATACCTTGGGCTCCTTAAGGGCTAAAACCAGATGGCTAGTTTGCTTTGTAGAATGATACATGGGACAGCGTAAACAGCCAATAAATATTAAACAAATCAATGAACATATAAACTTTATAACTGTTCTATGAAGTAGAGAAAAAAAATCTGTACTTCTGTGCTTACATCACCAGATACCAAATTTAGCAATTACTACAATTACAACAGAATTACTGGAAAGGAAAAAAATACTTTAGCTTATTTCTTGCTTAACATTTGTATGTTCTTGGCAAAAAAAAAAAAAAAAAAGAAAGAAAGAAATTCAAGATTGAAGGACTAGATTGGCAAATTAGAACATTAGAAGTTATACACCAAATAAAAGATGCTGACTCTTGAGCTTTACAATTCATTAACTGTCAGGTCATTAAATATAAGGTACAAAGTTCATTTCTGATGGGAATCAAAGAACATCATTTATTTGCTAAACTACTGAACTTAAATGATCAAGTTTGTCTAAAATTGGTACAAAAATGTTATGAAAATAAGAATACTGGTATTATATTTTCTGTAACTTAATTTCCATGAAGGCTGTAACCACAAAACTTTTGGACTGCAAATCATATAATAAATGAAAATATAAAAATATATTAAATTAAAAATATTTTGAATTTTAAAAAGCTGAACTTCAGCTGACCCAGTTTCTAATGAGAGAACAGTAATATCTAATCAAGCATGACAATAACTTACTCACATTTTTTTGAGGGTTTTGAAACTAGATGTAGACCATCTTATTTTTCTATCATATTTTTTAACTACTCATCATTTTCTTTATTTTGGCTAGATGAAAATGTTATATATAGACTACCAAAGAAATTGATTTGATAATGCTATTAAATGTGAATTATGATATCAAAATGTTGCTAGAATTAGATTTACATTTAAGCCATCTATTATTACTTTCTAAATCAGCACCTTTTCTCAAATATAATACGAACCATTCTCATTAATAATGGGGAAGTGAATGCCTACATGAGCATGAATGGGAAAGCTACACATATTTCAGTTAACAAGGATAGGACCTCACCCTTTGTTTTCTTGCATGATTTCTTCTTTTAAAAAATAAAATGAGTTTTTTCCTCATCACCTGGTTTCTAGAAGAGAAAAATATGGTTGTATGACATTAAGAAAAAGCACAATAAAAATTCACTTTTATTTTTCAGAGACACTGAAAAACAAGCAAAGATCACTTAAGAATATATGATATAATCAAAGTTAATCCTAATTTTTTCACCCTGCAAAATAAGACTTTTGCAATAATTAGAACTGACTAAAATTCCTCCCATTCTACAGTAAAACTTTATACAAATAGTTCATTTTCAATTATTACATCCAACCACAGGCAACTATTATTTTCATATAATAATTACACCATTACTGATTCTTTTTAAGAATTCTGGTGATATAAACATCTTTGTACACTCTGGAGGAGGGGAGGTAGAATAGAAGGAAAAGGTTTTAAAGTTACCTCCCTACCTCAGGATTGGTGCTGACCTCCCTTCTATGAGAATGTATACCAACATAAAGAGGTGACTTCTGCTTTAAACAGAAGATTTTCTTCAGTCACAGAAATGACACAATCCACTCTAAGAAGTAATGGAGGGCAATGTGACAAGACAGGAAAACTCTTATATCTTAATGTAACAGTTCCACTTTTTAAATGTGAAACATTGTGACCTTCAAAAATACTGACATGCAGGTTCAAATACAAATATTTATACCCCACCTACTTCCAGAAAGGATTTCAAGCTGATTACTCAAATATAAATACAAAGCCAAGGCAAGTAGAAGTAATTTTTTGGATTATCTGCCACTCAGGACTAACAGTGACACTGGCTCCTCTCAAATAAGCATGAACAATCAGGAGCTGGCTATATGGAAAAGTAGCCAAGAGATGAAAAGAATTATTAAAAGGTACATTTGCTATTTCATACAAAGCAAATGATGGTGATAAAAGAATAGCTACTGAATGATTCATAATGAGTGCATGCAGCTGAGTAAATGATATCTCATTTACTCAAATGGAAGCGTTACCATATATTCAGTTTGCTCTAATTGTAGTTATGTGCTACTCAAAAAGCAAATGACAAATCAATATATATATAATTTAAAATGTTTCCTAAGAATTTAAGTGAAGAAGTCAGCCAGTCAGTAACTCAGCTTAGGACAGTGTGCTAAGCATTGTAGCTGTTCTCCAGCTAATAATGGGTGAGGGGGGATGCGGAGACAGAACACAAACATAACTGAAGCCTTGTGGAAAAAAAAAAAAAAAAACATTAAAAATAGCCAACTAGATTTTATCTATTTTTTTTTAAAATGTTAAAACAGCTAAACAGTTCCAAAACAATTATATTCTATATGAGTTTTGCCTAACCTACACCTAAGGGTTGTCAAGACCACAGTATCATTTCACAGAAAATTTCTAAGTATATGACTTTTATTATGAACCACTTTAACAAAAGTTAAAATTATTCAAATTTCCATTTTTTCATGCATACTACCATGCAAATTATATTTGCCACCAGTTCTGCAAAGTAGTCAACTATTGCACATATTCTAAGAAATTTTTTAAAAAGAAAAAGGTATATATATATATATATATATATATATATATATATATATATGCTCATTAGTAACTGTACCAGTAAATAATTATAAAGTTCTGGTTATACTTAATAAAACATATGAAATAGAAATATCACATTTTTGTTACAAATTAAGAATAATTCACCTAAAATTCTCTTAAAGTATGATAATTAAGAAAAAAAAAAAACCTATCTAGCCTCCTCTCTTACTTCAATCAGATCAAGAAATTCGGTTTTCTTTTTTACTTATATTCTTATTCTAAAATCCGCATCCATAAAGGCCTGGTATCGGATAAGCAAGGCTAAGCAAACTACATTCTGGAGCAGTCTCCTCACCCAGGTGAGGTGACTGAGCGCTTCCAAGGCACCAGGACATTAAATGGTAGAAGGATCTACAAATACCGTCATTAGCAACAGTCATGGAAGGGATTTCCCTAGAATAGGATTTTGAATAATGATAAAATGATCCGTGGCACTTCTACTTTGCAATGGCAGATGTGGCTTGGTGGGGGACGGTGTCATCACTAGTCTTAAATGAAAAAGCTTCATTATCTTACTTCATCATGCGCCTTGCAGGTACTCCACTGAAAAAAAGACAAAACAGGAGGCAAAAAATTCAAGCCTCAAGGTAAGCCATTTCAATTTTAAGTATCCACCTTTTTTTACTAGCAGATTATAAAACCAGCTAGTTTTATGCAATAATTTATTTCATTTTTTGGCCTCGGAAACTCAAAGCTGTTACCCCAACCCCCAAAAAGCCAGAGGAAGATAACATATAGTAAAACAACAGCAAATTACACAAATCTAAAACACACCTACACTATATTATAATAATATGTCAGCAGATAACATAAAAATGATCTCTTTATAGAATATATATGGTCTTTAACTGAAGAACTCTAAAAATGATAAATACTTACGTCTTGATGTTCTCATGGTACACCTTGGTATCTGATGGCTGGTTATAGAGTGGCTATAAAATAAATCAATATTAATATATAAAATGTTGTACATATGTCTATGAAGAGACAAAAAAATAATTTCTATTTTAATGTAAGCCTAGATCAAATACTATTGTGTCTACATAATATATGCCCTACCAAAAACTCCATACTTTTGGGTTCTCTGAATAACTCTGTTTACCCCATCTCCTAATAATGCCATTCCTGTGAGAAAGTTTATAAATTACTGTATCCCATAATAAATATATTAATTCACAGATTTTTTATTTTAAAGGCATAGGAAGAGTAAGCACTGTCCTTATCCTAACAGAATGATTCAAAGAGCTTTCTTATTCTGTTCTCACTTCTTGCTCCTTCTACCTGGAGTGATTAAATGGCTGCCCAGGATAATGCTTCTACAAACGTAACCAAGTTCATGCATCATTATTTTCAACTTTATTTTCAACTTTATCTCCAACTTACTGCCCAGCTACATTCCTCTCACCCCAAAATGGATAGATTGTATTCCATCTTACCCCCCCCCCAAAAAAAACCTACTAAAAAAAGCACAAGAAACAAAAAAAAAAAGATTTCTTACCAGTTCAACTTTTGGGCCAAGACCTTCAAATATTTTATGAGCTTCTTCTGCTTTTTTCTACAAAGACATTATTATATTGTATAATTAAAAATTATATTATCTAAGTGCAAAATCACTACCAATTTAATAATATTTACTTAAAGACTACACTATAGTTAAACTTATTTCTAAACATCCTTCTTTCATAGAGTAAAAGTCTCTCTAATTCTATTTTCGTAGTTTCCTCACCAAATTCAGTCAAAGCTTACCATTTGTATTGAAAGCACCACCTAAAGAGTTGGTAAGTTCTTAAAAGCAAACATATTAAGATTCTAGGGAGAGGGAACAGAGATCCACAATTAGAAATGAATCCCTCAAACATTCTAAAATACTTCAACTCATAGTATCTTTAATTAAATTTAAATACATACAACACCATAAAGTTGTGAATCTTCACTCTGAGAAGCCAAATTGATCTCTTTGGGGACCAGCTTATAATAAGCTTACTTTCTAGTTACAAGAAAACCTTAACAATAACCCAAACAACAGAGGAAACAACTGGTTTGATTAACTCAAAAGTGTTCAGTAGTAAATAAATGTTGAATTATATATATTTTTACAAGCCATTTTCAAAAGTAAAATAATCTAGACCAAAGTGCTATCTAACAGAACACTTCCTTTAATAGACAAATGAAATATAACAAAATTCAATACTAAAGATGTTTAAATTGGAATTATGAGTGTGATTGAAAAATACAGTGAATGTTTAAATAAGAAAATTTATTACAGCAAAAGACATGTTGCCCTTAATCCCCCTCCAAATATTCCCCCTAGCTTCGAACACACTTATCCCATAGTTCTTGCCACTTTCTGAACCAGTTCTGGAAGTTCTCTTTTGTGAGTGTCTTTACTTCATTCTCCATTATGACAATGTTCTGTGTCACATACAGCAATTTCTATCAAATAAAAACATTACAGTGTGTCTTCATCCATCTTATTCACTGGATCTGGCACCTTGCGACTTCTGGCTCTTCTCCCAAGTCAAAATGACTATGGAAGGAAAACATTTTGAATCAATTCAGGACATGGAGGCAGCCACGACAGCACAAGTAAAGAGTCCTCACAAAAGAGGACTTCCATAACTGCTTCACAAAGTGGCCAAGAATGATGGGATAAGTGTGTTTGAAGTGAGGGGGAATGTTTTGAGGAGGATTAATGGCAATGTGTCTTTTACTATCATAAATTATTTTTTAATTTAAACATTCACCTTACTTTTTTTTATCACACCTTGTATATGACTACAGGAAATGTCTCAGTGGTTCTCAAATCTCTTTCTTGCTTCCAACACATTCTCATTAGTAACAATGGCTCCTTGCCTGCTGCAGACCCACACCTCACTGCATTTGTGGCTGGAAAACTCTCTAGGGCTTCTATTGCCACATATAAATGGAAAGGAATGGATATCAATCAGTATCCCCAAAATATAAAAAAAGACATTCCCTTAAAATAAATATTCTCCTTTTCATTTACCAATCACAGTCAACCAAGTCAAATATTTATTTAGTATATATGAAAAGAACTATGTTGAACCAGCTTAGGAAGAACAAAATAGTGTAATGCACTTTCCAAGCTCCAAGAAACTTAAAAGGTTATTGAGAAATAAACATATCAAGAATGTCAAATATAAAACTATAAATATACCCATTGAATTTGTATAGCAAATCCTATTCTAGCAATAGTTTTAAGGCAGGATTTGTCAATGTTTTGTTATTAACATTTTGGGCCAGATATTTCTTTGTTGTGGAGAATGTCCCATGCATTATAGGATATTTAGCATTGTCCATGGCCTCTACCCACTAGATAACAGTAGCACTCCACCCCTCCAGGATACAACAATCAAAAAAGTCTCCATTTGAGAACAACTGCTCTAAGGTAAATATTAATCTCAATATTACATATAAAAATGTAATTATAACAAAATTCAAATTTATTAGCTTTAGACATATATTAAATGACACACAAATATCATCATGGATGATAAATTTGGAAATAATCTAGCACCTGCAACTCTCTCAGGACCAAGACTCACCAGTTTTAAATACGCATCAAGGCACTCTATAGTAGAGCCTATACCAAGAACTGGCAGGCTAAGTGAATTGTACATAAATAATACTGAGAGACAAGGGAGCAAAATTATTTTATGGCAAATGCTCACTAGTGTCCTATTACATAAGGTACTTACCTTCTCAGGGCTAATTTTAAAGGTTGGTATTTAAAATATCTGTAGACCCCAAGAGTTAAGTTTTGCAAAATTTTACTAAAATATTTGACTTCATGTTGCCTTAACTGCAAAGAATAAATTAACCTATCAATAGTTTGGCAGAAAAACAATTAATTTAAAACTCTCACATTTCCATATTAAATTATTCTAAGTCTGTAGATAGAAATAATTAATTCCTTGAACATATGTTGAGTATGTTCTACATGCCAGGCACTTGCTAGACACTACAAAAACAATGAATAATATTGCCCTTCCTTAAGTAAGAGGAAAGGGGGTCTTGAAAGGCTTTGCAGAGAAAATTATACTGGAGTTGGGTCTTGAAGTACAAGTACACTCAACAGACAAGAGACAGACAAAAAAGACAAGACATGGCGATACCTGAAGGCAGGGGCAAGAACATGGGGGTAAAGGTTAATAACAACTTCAAGCGAACATTCAAAATCTGTTATGGCAGAATATCACTAAGAAAGGAGTATCAGGCCAGGGAAGTAGGCATGTAAGCACTGATGAAAAGTTTGGGCTATTCTGTAGAAAGTAGGAAATCATCAAAAGGTTTTATTTGGCGAATCATGTCAGGGGACTCAAATATAAAGGATAGATTGGAAAGAAAAAAGACTTAAGGAAGAAAACTCATTATCTATGTCAGAGATAAAGGCTCAAATTAAGCTACTGCCAAAGAAGATAGAGAGAAGCAATTAATCAAACCAATATTTAGGAAGTCAAACTGATGCTCTTTGCTGATTAGCTAAATCTACAATGGCACAGAGAAAGAAACAGGACACTGGCTTAGGTGACTAAAGATAGCTGGCACTAAGTATACTCTTTACAGTCAATCCCTTTCTTTCTTCTGGTATCACATTAACTTGCAAATCATTCAATTAAGATATAAAGAGGATGGTTTTGTAAACTACAGTCCACACAACCCCTTTCCTATATGTATTATAATTCTGAAATTAGAGCATTTTATAAATGTTTTTGGAACTCAAAACTGGGACGGGAACAGCAAATTGAATTATTAAAACAGTCCAGAGGAGAGTCTGTTTAGAGACTAAATGAATGTTAGTCTGAAGTTTAAATATTATGCAAGGCAATTTTTGTCTCAGGAAGCCAACTTTAAAATTAACAGTCACATTTGTCGAGTTTTCTTCCTCCCACTAACTTTCTAAATAAAACAAAGATGCCTTACACAAGATTATGGCCCCTATCTCTTAAGCCACATTTGGCTTAATTCCCAATCAGTGTAGACTGCTGCTAAACGAGGAACAAGGAGTGTATGCTTGTCATTATCTCTCTTTACCTATGGTGTCACAACAGATAGGGTCATTCATTATAGAAAGCTCAAGAAAGTGAAGGCCTTACAAAAGGCAGCATGGTGAGGCAGAAAAGCATTGAAAAGGTAGTCATGAGAAAGCCTGTACTCTAGGCCCAGCTGTACTCTCATCACTTCCCCTCCAGGAACCTCTGCTACAATTCTATGACTGCACAAGTGGAACCACAGCAGATAACTAGTAGCAGCGTATGCAAAAATATTATATATATATATATTTTTTTTTTCGCTGAACCATCCTGCCACCTATTGGCAGTTCAGCGGCTGCTCAGCTCGGGCCGGGACTCAAACCGCTATTGCTCAGAGCTCAAACTCTTGAGCAAGCTCTTAACCAACTGAGCCACTCGGCCGGCCCAAAAATAATATATTTTTAAAAAGATGATTCCTACAGTACTGAGTTGAAAATAATCCTCGTAATTCTAATACTAAAACAAATTTCAAATTTAGTGGTGGTTCTGTTTCACAGATCATACAGCAAACTGAATATGTAAATGCTAAAATGGAAAAAAAGGGATCTAAAAGGAGTTTTCAGTTTTGTTGATGGACATCAAAAAACATTTACTATATTATAATTAATGAAAACATATATATACAAAAGTGAAACACAAATTAAATTCTCTATTAGATCTTGTTCAATAGTTATCAGTTCTCACATCCTAATCAGGCAACCACAGGAGTCACGAATGTTTTAACTGTTTATTAGGCTTGTAAGAAAAGGCTAACAATCAATTAATAAATACTGTTGAATTCAATTTATTTAAAAATTAACTCATACTAAGAAAGAATTCAACAGCTCATTTTATAGGATTATTTCCCATTGTTATCAGTTCTAATCCCTATTTACTTTATCCCTGAGGTCACAAGCTGGCCGTGAAGCCCATCAGCCCACAAAGGTACTTTGTTGTTCTAATGAGTGTTTTTTAAAAAGCAGGAAATTTCACATAAAACTCCAAGTTCCTGGCTTCTCTCAAATAAGGGAGCACCTGTGAACCCAGGGCCACATCCCTGCCCCAGAGCACTGCTTCTCTAGCCATACCATGAGGCAGTCCCTGTCACTCACTTTTCTTATTGCTCTTCACCCTCACTAGATGGATCTACCTGTACATGGCTCTGTCCATTCAATAAATTGGACTAATCTTTAACTCAGTCAGGAAAATAATATTAACTGCCCATATTACCTGCATGACACCTATCTTAAGTATTATATATCTGATGATTTTCAGTGATCTATATACATACATACATGTATATCTGAGTCCAAGATCATTCCTATAATCTATTCATTGTTTAATTCACAGTTGCTTTTCTTTTTTTTTTTAAGATTTTATTGGGGATAACACCAACATAATATATTATTATTATCTTCCCGGCTGAGGCAGTCGCTCACCGGCCACTGAACAGCCGCTCACAGCTGCTCACAGCGACTCATGGCAGCTCACTCCCGCTGCCGGCCAGCCCCACTGCAGCCTACGCTGTCACCGGTGACTCAGGGCAGCCCAGCTCCAGGTTGAGCTGTTGTTCACCATCTTAACTGTAGAGGGCACAGCATCACTGACCCTCATATGTGGAATCTGAACCAGGGCCCTGCTGCTGACATCTGAAGACAACTCCTAACCAACGTGCCACTCAGCCGGCCCTACAGTTGCTTTTCTTAAGGCCAATTTCCTTTAGGATATGGGCTATTATAAAGTTATAGGATACTTGTGTAAGATGTACTGATTCTGATGACTCTACTCACTACAAATCAAATAAATTGAAACAACAATCCCAACTTCTACCTTGTGACCATGTTTAGCTAACAAGCCTATTCTCTCCTATAGTACTTAAAGCATATTATTCTTTTTCTGGACTGGAGACTTCTGAAGCCCAGTGTTAAGCGGCTCCATTGGAAAGTTTTCTTTGTATTCAGGTAAAATAAGTTCCTTTTTAACTGCTAGTTCCGGCGCTAGATTAAAAAAATAGCTATGGCCACAAAATTATTCACAGAACTGAGGCCTAGACACTTCAAAGTATTAAGAAAGAAACTGTTCTAATAAACCTAAAAAAAGCAAAGTTTACCTAAAGGCCAATGGCCTCATACTTTATAACTAAGATTCAAATCAAACACTAGCTATTAATTCTGAAGCTAACAATGCATGTCATTTCTACATCCAATGACCCATCTCTACTATTAATAGAGTGGTATCTGTATTTGGCATTAAATGTCCCTTATAAAGTGAAAAACTATAGAATGACTATTGTGTATTATTTGCTACAAACTTTCTTGCCAATATGTATACAATAGGAGACTCAGCTGACAAAATTACACTCTCATTAAATAATATTTATGCAATATAACATTTAAATGAAATATTAATTTAAGACACACCTGTCAACTTTTCTTCAGTCTATAAGGAAAAACCACCAAGTTTCAGTAAAAGTTTAAGGACATTTAAAATTTAACAGAAACAAGGTTTTCAAACAATTAACATTACAACAGAACACGCTGATAACTACAAAAGGCATAGTCAAGGAGTTTTAAAGACCTGTGCCATGAGAAATGACATGGGCTTACCCGATTCTCATCATAAATAATTTGGACAATACTGCGGTGTTTCTGCTCCACAGGAGGAGGGGACACAGGCTTCTCCGGCTCAGGAGGTTTAGCTGCTTCTTCTTCGAGCTGTTGCTAAGAGACCCAGAAAGGAGAGTCAGGAGGCATCTGTTCCATGTTACCCCCACCAGTAATTAATCGCCAGAGATAACACATGCTACCGAGCAATGCTTTGCTGATTTCTATAGGGTAATCATTTACTCTACTAGGGTCTAACAGACTCAAGGGCTCTAACAAATCCAATCATTTATTTTGACTAATAACTAAACAACATAAATCATCATTAGATAATCAATCCTCTTATATTTTCATTCTGATAAAGCAAAATAGTAAGGAAAACTAAACATATGAAGGTACCCCATATACTTCTATAACAATGGCCTTTTGTGGCACTGGAAAGAAACCACTTTTATACATTATATATAGTATGTATTAATGTCTGGTTGGGGAAGAGTATGGGAGAATTGCCTTTAAAGAATAATCCTTTACTCAGCATAGCACCATGCCCTCACCACCACCACCACTAAACTATATTTTGTAGTCAACAAGCACTGGTAAAATTACGAGAATATGGACTGCTAGTGTGTACAATTACAAAGCAGAACTCTATCTGTATTACTCTGCCTACGTTTGCACCTTAGGGTCACTTTTCACAAGTGATGTGATCTAGGGACCCTTTCTAAATCCTTACCTCAATCTCGAGCAAGAATATAAACCAGTCACATGTAAAGAAGGGATAGTGATCCTACGAATCACATAGCTTTTTGAGGACTGAACGACTCAAAAGCACATTACAACTGTAAATGTTCAGTAAATATTAGCTACTATTACTACTGAAGTAAGCAGGGGCTTTGTCTGCTTGGTTCACTGCTTTTTTTCCCAGCACCTAAACCAGCGCTGCCCAGTAAATGCTCAACAAATAGCCATAAGAATACAGTGTAAGTGCACTGCCTAAGATGATGATAAAGACATTAGGTAAAGATGTTAAGTCTACTAAAAGCCTAGAATAAAAAAGTATCCATACTACTAAGTAAGATTAAGTCAAGGCTCTTATTAATATAACTCAGACCACACCCAGCTGAAAGGACAAAAATCTTCTGAGAGAGAAGCTTCAAGGACCACTCCACTTTGGAATTAAAAGTATTCTTGCTGGGCCGGC